TTATTTAGAAATTGACAAAATTAACATCCTTATTTAGAAAAAATTGAAAGTTAACATCTTTATTTTTAAAAAAATTGAAAGTTGACATCCTTATTTAGAAACTGATAAAAGTAACATCCTTAAATAGAAAAAAGTATAAAGTTGAAATCCTTATTTGCACCTTTACTCAAATAATGTGGCCTAGTGAAAATGGAAATGTTGGTTGGAGAGTGCAGTGTCCTTAGCATTGCTGTATTTTGGAAGAAGATTCCAACCCAACCCTTAAATAAAGAATAAATGTGTATTTTAATTTGGTTAAACCCCAACTTACTCCCTCAACTATTGTACATATTCTTGAATTGGTTCTTAAATTAAAAAATTCCTAATTTAATTTTTAAAGTTTTTAAATTTAGTTCCAAGTTAGTTCCTCCATTAAAATATCACTAAGGTTCATGTTACTTGATGGCAGAACAATGTCACTTCAAAATATTAATACATGTTGGATTGACAACATGTCAAAAAATAATGACATGGCCAAAAAGACTTAAAATTTTCGTTTTTCTTCTTCTTCTTCTTCTTCTTTCTTCCTCTCTTTTTTCCTCTTTCCCCTTCTCTTTCCTCTTTCCCCTTCTCTTTCCTCTTCCTTTACTTGGCCCTCTACAAACCCTAAGTTGTGATTGTGGTGCTATCAACATGGTTGCTACCAATGGACTCTTTTAATATATCTACAAAGGGTGCATCTCTTGCAACAATAAAGACATTGAGAATCATCCTAACCATTGCAACTGAAGTTGTGCATCTCATAGCAGATCTCTTGGGACTTGTCCTTACACTTCCTCCAAATTAAACAACGTATTGTATCCCATGAGAAGGTCAAAGAGTGGTGGCTGGTCATGACAACCTCATACCATTCTAATACCTCGTCGATGGATTCAACATCGATAGTTGCCATGTTAACTGTGAATCAGCAATCCTTCTCCTATTCCCTTCACTCCCATGTCTGGGCTCTTTTCTTAGTTTTCCTTTTTTAAAATGATTATTTTAGTTTTCTTTCTTATAATTATTCATAAAGAAATAATCCAAATCTATAGGAAAATTGTAGGTATGCTAAGACTATCGTTGTGGATGGTGATGTGAGTGAAGAGGGGTCTTCTGGGTCAAATACTGAGAGTTGGATTGTTCTTGGATAGGAGATTGGGTATGAGAGGAAGGATTTGGGGAAATATTTGCCTAATTCAGGTAGTGATCAATCTGATTATCGTAAATTTAGTAACTTTGAAGTGAAAAATTAGAGAGGCCAAGTGGGTTTTGAAGGAATTGAGGGAAAGGAAAGTAAGAGTGAGAATTTAGGGAAATTTGAGTTTGATAATCATAAAAGTAGTGATTTGATTTGAAAAACAAATTGGGTTTTCTTGAAAATGTGAAAAGAGAAGTGAGTGGTTCGTGGAGGATATGGTGAAGTTCAAGTTCATGATAAGGATTTGAACAATCGCTAGTTTGATTCTAGTGGGAATGGCTTGGTCTTGTTAAAGTTTAGAGATGCTAAGAAAGAGAGCACAACTGATCTAGGGTTTGTAGAAGGGGAAGCAAAGGAAAAAGAAAGAGAAAGGGAAAAAGGGAGGAAAAAAAACAAAAAAAGAAAAGGGATTTTTGAAGGTTTTTTTTTTACCATGCTGCCTTCTTACATGTATTAATATTTTACCATGACATCGTTCTCTCGTCAAATAACATGATACTTCAATAATTTTTTAACAAAATGATTAACTTGGAATCAAATTTAGAAATTATAAATATTAAATTATAAATTTTTTTAATTTAAGAACCAATTTAAAGATCTATACAATAGTTGAGGGAGTAAGTTGATGTTTAACCTTTTAATTTTGCAACAGATATTGTGTGACTAAAAGAGTAAGTAGATCATATTGACGAATACTTTCCGTTAACTGGGAATCCATTTTTTTGCCGGTTGAAGATTTCCGTATTTCGTATGAAAAGGGTACAAGTAATTAAGAGAATTTGTTTGAAATTGACATGCGGGAATGGGATCTTCCACATGGTGCCTTTCTTTCTTTTTCCCTTTTTTTTTTT